CACAAGATAGTCACGAGGTAATGCCTGCCAGACTATGGAATGTCCTCTCCCTGGTTTCCAGGGTAACTGATCACAGAAATGCCCCCACCTGAGGGCAGCCAATGAGAAATGGTGGCAGACAACCACTCCCTTAGAAGTAATTTCTAGAAGTCCCTAGCAGCGAGCCAATCAGAATTGTAGCCGTACTAGCACCCCTAAATGATGTAACCTTGTGACTTTTCCCTTTAAAAACTGAGCTTGCAGACAGGTGGGCACTTCCTCCAGCCTCCACTGCGTTGGATGTATTGGACGAAGTCCCTGCCTAGGCTTGTATATCCAGAATTAAACCTTGCTTTTGCATTCCGGCATGCTCGTCTTTGGTGGTCTCTCTGGGGATCATGATCTGGGCACAACACAATGTCTACTATATTGGCTAAGATGATGTCTCACAAATGTATCTATGTATCAAAATTCGCCAAGTTATTTGTTTTAAAGATATTCTCATTTTTTATGTCATTCTACCTCAATAAAACTGTTTAAAAGTTAAAAAAAAAAAAAAAGCAAGCTGGTTAGGAACAAGCCTAAGCTATATGTCAAGCTTTCATAATTAATATGAAATCTCCCTGTCATTATTTGGAAGCAGGCTGGCAGGACAAAAAAAAAAAAAAAAAAAAAAACAAAACACCAAAAGAACTCATTACAACATGGAAGTCACATTTAGGTGCAAAATGCTAGAACAAAGGGGTTCCATAACCCATGTCAAACCATGTTCTAAAAACGCATAAATCTCCTGGAAGAAGCAATTCATAAACTGTTTCAAGCTGTGTGCCATTCTGAGCACCATGATGAAATACTGTGCTGCCAGCTTCTACCTGAGTCATGAACCCATCATTTCCATGCTATATATTCACTTGCCTACTAGTCCCTTAAGCAGTCTCAATTACCAGAGCCACTGTTAATGTGTCACAGTATAGTGTTTATAAAACTTTTATTTTAATAATGTCCCCCCAAAATCAAGAGCAGTGATGCTGAGAAATGAAATACGCTGAGAAGCTTCCCTTAAGTGACTGAATGCAAGTTCTCAATTTAACTGGGGGTGGAGGGGTACAGACCACCAGACATTTTAAGAGAGTACATTTCAGAGACTTATTTTTGGAGACAGGATTCCTCTGTATAACAGTCCTAGCTGCCCTGCAACTCACTATTAGACTAGGCTTGCCTCAAACTCACAGAGATCTACCTGCCTTTGCCTCTCAAGTGCTGGGATTAAAGATGTGCCTAGTATGTCTGGCTCAAGGAACTTTATTGTTCAATACATAATCTTGCTTTGTAGGCCCATTCTGCCTTTGAACTTGCAATTCTTCTGCTTTGGCCTCTGGAGTGCTCAGGTTAGCCATGAACACAACAGCTGGTTCACATTCTAATTTCAGTAGTCATTAATATCTTACTATGCCTAATTTAAATTTATAGATTAAATCTTACCAGGGGCATGTATATTTAGGGGAAAAAAAAAAACACAGCACACATCCCTTGTATAAGGGGCAAATCTGTATTATATATTGCCATGAACACCATAAATGTTTCCCATGCTTTCAAATCATTTCCAATCACTGCCTGTTTTCCACAGTGACTGGCTCTGACTCTAAGGTCACATAACTTCTACTGGTGTTTCAAGTTATACTAAGACACAAAACAGAAGTAGCTTAGTTCCAGTTTCAGGTTGGCTGTAATGGAACTCTTATTTTTGATAGCACAGGGAATCCCTTCTATGGTTTCCAGCCAAAATTACTATGAATAAAGCATTTGCTTTGGCCCTATCATTATCACTTAAGGAACACCCCACCCACCCACCCACCCTGAAAGCCCCCTAAAACCCACCACAATCCTGTCAAAAAACTGCTCAATAGTCCTCATTGCAATTCCTCCCCATCCCTCTCATTTGACTGACCAGTTTCAGTCAGGAGCAGTGACACTGGTAATAATGAGGAAGAAGCTCTGGCTAAGAGGCTATAGCTAAACGTCTTCTAGGAAAGCTGCAGGTGCCAGGCATCTCCTATAACAGCACTTTTGAATAAATGGGTCCATATTGTCTCTAGTTGGGTCAACAAAAGGAGTTAGGTCAAACAGCAACCACTGCTCACTCTTACCTAGCAGTCAGTCACTACACATGCGCCACTTTCCACTTAAATTTAGATTATCTTAGTATGGCCCACATTTTGTAGATGAGGGAAAATACCCAAAGATCGTAATTGCTTTTCTTAAATTATCAAAGCTAACAAATGTCAGAGGGAAATACAATGCAATACAGCAACTGAATTATTTACTGATATGAAAGGATGCTTATGTTTCATATATAACAATGGCCACAAACAATCACAACAAATAAAAATGATTGGCTGCCAGTATTATTTTACAATTATTATTCTTTTTGTAACTTACATATCTTAAACATCTCTATTCAAAATGAGTAGAAGTTTTTCAATACAGACTTTTAAAAACTGAAGAATATAGAAATCTGTATGACAGAACGTATGCCTCTATTATTAATAGTAAAATATCAAAATAGACACAAACCAGCTGGAAGAACTCAGTTGATAAAGGTCCTACCATGCAAGCTTAAGAACCTAATGTGGAATCTCCAGAAGCCATGTCAAA